ATAATATTATTAATACAAAATATTCATTAATTTTATCAATGATTAATTTTTAACAAAAAATCTAACTAACTATTTTTAATGAGATTTTTTTTCTTAATTATTTTTTTTTCATATATAAGTCTCAAATTCGAAACATTTTGTGAGAATATAAAATTCAATTTCTTTCTTATCAAAGACTTGGTAAACTGATTAAATTAATTGATAAGTTACAATTTTAATAACTATTTAATTTATTAAATCCAAGAATCAATTTGACCAACCATTATGATTTTAAAAATAAATCGGTTCTTCAACATTTATTTGACCTCTGAATTTAAAAATCATATATGACCCTACACATTTAGGAATTAAATTAATTAATGCACACTAAAATAAAAATAAATTGAATAATCACATATATTAAAAATAAAAATAATTACCAATATGTCATCAAATATAATATGAATTTAGATTCTTTAAATAATGTATTATATTTGAGGCTTGTGGATAAAAGATTAAAAGATGAAGATTTTTCTAAATATAATAAGAGTAACAAAATGAGTTGAATCTATTAAATTAACTTAACTAACCTGTACAAAAATATTGGAATGAGTTAGGTAATTAATTCAACAACTTCTTCATTTAATTCACTAATTAGATGGGTTAAAAGTAGGATGAGATAGGTTAATTTGCTAGATTGACCCGTTTAATTCACTGATATTTTATGTATATATAAATAAGCTTATATTTTATATAATTAAAAAAAACATGATTTATTCAAGTTTATAGAATAAAAGAATGATGTATTAAAAATAATTAAATTAGTGGTTTTAAAATATTTTTGTTATTTTCTTTTTACTTGATTTTTATTTTTGTATAATTTTTAACAAATTATATTTTTCAACTCACTTTGTGTCAGGTGGAGCAACCTGTCTTGTCCCTATTTTACTATTTTTGGAAGGTTATGGTGCTTTTCCACCCTTAAAAAATAGTTAGTCAAATTTTTAAATGAAAATTAATTATCAATAAATTTAATAAATAGTTTTCACGAACAGGATAGGGAAAAAAATGAAATCAAATTGAGTGGTTCTTGATATCAGGTGTAAACTAAATGATACTTATCATTTTTAAGGACTACACAATTTGTTTTTGCAATTTTAAACACCTAAATGATCAGTGATCATCATAATTCCATAAAACTAATTTACATTTTATATTCATTTGTTATAAAAGAAATAAACTAAAATTCTATGACAAAAAAAAATTGAGGAAGGGAGTTGGGCCCACCATTGTCCCCTCTTTCCTTACCAATTATCTAATCCAGATTCCAAACCAACCCTAGTTTTATAGGGTCGGTAAAAATTTTCCAAAAGTAAATTCAAATTCATTTTATTTTTGGAGTCAAAAGTGAAAACGATATATTTCTTTTAAAAAAAAAAATTCATTGGGAAGAGCAATTCACTCGATTATGTTGAAAAGATTCTCACTAAAAAATATCTATTTTATTGTGTACATGGACGCATAATGAAAAAAAAAATCATTACTTGTTTTTTATAAATATATAAATCATATTCATAAACACAAATAAAAAACCTCGTATAAATTTAATGAGTCTGAACCATACATTTTCACTAATCGTACTCGATCCAATTAAATGTGCATTTGAATTGAAATGCAAGTTACTAGCTGATCTGAAGAATGTGAATGAGTTTTCTTTTCTTGGTTGCAAAATGGTCAAATACCAAAAAAGAAAGAAGAACAACAAACTGAAATATTAATTCATGTCACATGACAAGCTGAATTCTAATTATAGAAGCTTAGTGGTTATTTCTTGAAGATTCCGTAATAAACTTTATGCAACTTAAGAACATTATGAAATTATAAACTCTCAACTTTCTGTTGGTAGTGACAGGTTTTAGTTGACGAATTAAAGAATTGTATGTATAACCCCATCATCACTCCAATATGGCCAAGACTCAAGTCCTACACTTCCATCAAAGAATTAAATTCAATGGATATCTTCCTTTAATCATATTCATTTACACGAATTCCACTCCTTGTGGAATACGTCTTCTAATGCCTAATTATTAAATAATATATGCACCTGCACTCCATGGAAACTATTATAAATAAATATATACAAAAGCTTTGAATCACATGTGAATAGTAATGGTATCAATTGGTGATGCTTTAAAACGAGTATTAGGATAAAGAGGGTTTCTTTTTCTTAGTTCTTACATAAACTTTACGTAAGATTTCTATGCATATATAAACAAAAATACCAATTTTACATATATCAGAAAAGTTAATTACAAACATTTTAGTTTTTATGATTTTACATATAATATACGTTATGCTCTTAATTGTTATTTTAGAGATATTTTTTAATTAAGAGTATCAAATAAAATTCACTTAATTAAATTTTGGTTCAAAATTGTTTAATATGTGTTATTTTTTATACAAACTACACTGAGCAACCAGTCAAAGACCCAGCAAAACTGAGTTATAGTAGGAGAGGTTCTTAAAGAAAAATGAATATTTGAGATCGAATTGTGATACATTAGTTAAAGGAAAAACAATTATACATATGATACGTAATTGACATTACATATGAGAATGTTTGTTTATTGCGGCCACCAAACATTGGGAACGTTGTTGGTGTGGCATGCCACAGAGCAGCTCCTGATGATGTTGAGCCATAAATAAGATACTCAACATGTGATCATTTCTTGTTTCTTGTGCCCATCAACACTTGTCCTCTCCTAACTCACAATCTCCATATTCTTCTACATTAGGAAAATGGTTCATGGCTAAATTATATCTTATTTATGTTTTTTTTCTTCATAGATATCTATGGAGTGACTCAATGCAGATCATTAAAAGCTAGTTTGCTTTTGCAAGATGTGATTTTTGTTAGTTTAACTGACAAAAAATTGGATCTGAAAGTAATACATTTTGATAAATTGTTTTAGATTTTATATTATTTTATCATTTAACCTTATCTACTAACACTAAATTATTATAATTTAATTAATTGTCCTATGAATCCTTAAGTATATTAAATATTTAGGAAAAAAAGTTTTATCATAGTAATTCTATTTCACATGCACAAATTACCTGAAATAGTCTTGTATGTATAAAACAAAAAACAAAAAAAACTTTCTATTACTCTGATAAAAAGCCACACGTGTTTGTGGGTAAGAAGCCATATGTATTACTCGAAAGTATGCTCCCATTCATGAAGAATTGCATGTGTTTTATAATTTAATCGGATTAAAAGTAAATAAATAAATAAAGAAGAAGAGAGAATTAAAGAGGAAGGAAGTAAAAATGAGGTAAAAGCAGGAAGAGATAACGTAAAGTACATTATTGTTTATTTCTTATAAAAAAGACTGGAACAAAATTTTATATTGTTTGGATAGATGAAATTGGAAAATAATGATATAAGATTTATTTCTATTCGTTTGGTGATACAAAAAAGGGAAGAAAAATAAATAAAAAAAATATTATGAAAAGACAATTTTCTCTATTTAATAATTTTTTTAATATTTAATTTATGATGAAATATACATGATAACTGTTACATACTTAATAATTTTGTTTTATACATATTTTTAAAAAAATTACTTTAATGCATCCTCTACTTTTTTATTTTTAATTTATCTTCGGCTTAAAATAAAATTGGCTGCCTAATATTATAGAACTGTAGCTGCAAATATGATTGCAAAAAAGAAGTAAAAACAAATAAACACAAACACTTCCAAGTGTTCAACTCAACTACTAATCACGATTCACGGGTACGATAGAAGGAAAAGAATTATTGAGAAGCCCCCAGATTTTCCTTACATCTCCTTCACTATTCTCAAATATACAAACAAGGAAAATATCTTATAAGTTATAACCTTCCTAAATCACCCAAAAACAAATAAAGGATTAAAGTAAGAACATTGGAAAGTTAACGCAATTTTCCTTATAAACTAGTAATAACACTATTATTATTAGTTAAAATTCATGAGCTCCAGTAGAAGAAATAAGTCTCACTTCCTTTTTAGCATACCTTATTCCCTATTTAATTAATTCTATGCGAATTTCAACTATTAATTAAAAAAAATGCATTAAAAAGGTGTCAAATAGTATATTGTTAACATTTTTCTTTCTGCATATTACCTTTAGCGTGATAACAAGACATGTAGAATAAATTTTATTACAACTAAAAGTTTGGGTTATATCGCCTTTATAACACTAAAATGACATTCTAAAAAGTATCAAACTAGAGGCATATAATGGTGTATTATGTAGAAGGATTAAGGGTAGAAAAATTGCAGCCTTAGTAGAGAAAAGAACAAGGCTTGTTTGTTAAGATGAAACTTCATTGTATTTGAATACGCAGTCATACAAACGCCCCCCAAGAAATTGAGCCACCTCAGGATGTTTCACCTAAGAAACAAATAAGGGATCATCAGAGATCAAATGTTCATTATTGTAGCCAGGTAAAATAGTGAATGGTAACGTGTATTACCATTCCAATCTTGAGGGAATCACATTTAAATTGAGCATAGAGATTTGTTTCTATTCCACGGCCCTGTCAAAAGAATTAGATTAGTATTTCATATTTGAATTTGGAAAACCCTTCTTTGTATGATGGGGTTATGATATATAATGCAATTGTGAAATCCAATGAGGAAACCTTTTTTGATCCAACCAATGACGAAACTAATTGCTTGTTTGGCTATTTTTAATTTTGATAACAAAAACGTTATTGTGCACCGGAGGTTACCACACGCATACACATGTCTCCACATTGGTGAGATATTGTCCGCTTTGGGCCTTCTGCCCTCACAGTTTTGCTTTTGGACATTACCATAAAGGTCTCTCAACCAATAGAGACAATTGTGTGTATACAAACCCATGTTCATCCTCTTATTTGAATAATGTGAGACTTTGCTTGCATCCCAACAAACGTTACCTGATTTTTACCTTTTTTTTTCTATTCTGTTTTCAATGTGTTGTATAAGGAAATAGAAATGGAAAACATTTTATCAAGTAAACAGGCCATAAGTTTCAGTCTTTGCAAATGTGGAAAATATCCTAGAATAACCTACATGGTGCCAAACTATTTTTAAGAGTTGATGTCAAAATCTAGATGAAATAACTCAAATAATGTACATGCTGGAGCACTAAACAGAGGGTACAAGGGTGTTTGTGTTGAACTGTTGATACATAAGGGAGCCTATACCTTTGGCATTAAGTGTATAAGTCTTCGCCATTTAAATATTATTCAACGTTCCCAGGCTCAAATTACATAAAACTTCTTACTCACACTATTAACACTCCCAAGTCCCAACAATCTTCGCCATCGAGCAAGAGAACCTCCATCCATGTACTCCCCATTGGGCAGGAGCCTGTTTTTTGCATTCATGATATTTGATGGCCACATTGTGCTAGTAATGTCATTGGCTAATCATCAATGGGACACACCTCCTAAACTTCATGTTGTTAAGATTTTTGACACAAGAATCGTTATATGAATTCACTATCAATTCTGCTTCCTTTTAATACTTGTCAAAGTCGGTCACCTAGTCACGTGCTCACATCATATACCACTGTTGGATTGTGACAGGAGTCCAAAACACGAAGATGATCTCTATCAATAGACTAAGTGAAAACCACACACAAATGAACTGGACACCACACAACCAAAAATCTTGAGACATTAAAAACGCGGGCCCTTACACTTAAATGTTGCTTAATTAACTCGTTTTGTCTAAATTTAGATTTCTGCTCACACTTGACACTCCTAACAGTCTAAACTAAACAAATCTATGAAAAAACAGCTTGACCTGACAATGAATTTTATTGCTTTTTCAAAGGTCTTTCCAGTATCACACTATTAAGTACTAAGAACAGAAATAACTTTGCGGTTTTGTTTTATTTTTCATATAAATTTTGTAATTACAGGATAAAAGATTCAAAGAAACTAAAATAGATATGAAATGTAAAATTGTATTATTCACAATAAAGTAAGAGGGAATGCATATATAGACTCTCAAGCAAGCTAACTAAGGTGCTGACACACGATGAAACACAAGTGATGTTGAACATATTTATTAATTAAATGCATCGTGGATGCATTTACTTCATACACATGTTTAACATCACTTGGTGTCTGCATCGTAGTTATCGTATACATTAGTATTGGAGAAGTAACACAAGATATTAATGTTGATCAAGTTTGAAATTTGGGAAAAGATACTAAGATAATAGTGGACTTTAATTGTATTGAATAAGGAATAAATAATAATTCATGATTGTTCAATGCATTCGTCAGTAAGATCGCCAAACGATCAAAATATTGTTCTATTGACCTTCATAATTGGCCTAAAATATTGAGATCATTAAACAACAAACAATGAAACTAGATACACATAAACAATGAGACTTCATAATCCTTAATCTCACTACTTTTCTGAATGATTTTTTTAGTAACATTCATATTTGGATTCAATGATATCTTTTTAAGGAAAAGCTCCATTTTGATTATGACAAGGGCGAACCTTGGGGTACAAAAACCTTAGGAGCTAGATGGAAGGACTACAAGAGTGTGCTTAAAAGGAATCACATCAAACCAAACAAAAATAAGGAGGAGATAATTACAAATGTTCTTTATAACGAGGACATTGGTCAATGTTCAAACATTGTTGACACCGACATGACCAAAGAAATTACATAATAATTACTTCAACTTGTTCTTATATGCTATACTATGTACAATTTTGTTGATGTTTGCTTTTATAATTGTAGGAACTGAGTAATAAAAACAAACAAAATTGCAAAAAAATTAAAAACAAATGCTAAAGGTGGCATGAGCAATGTGAGGAAAGCACATGAAATAATATATTGCAATGTATAATATCAAATTTTGGTAACAACCATATATTCTTAATTTTGGTTCATGATTTAAAATTGTGTAACTTTTGATTCATTTTAATCAAATCATGGTAGAAGAAACAAGTAAACTGGCATGGATGTCAAGATAAAGTTAGTCAAACTTATTTGGTTAAGGAAGATGAAAGTTATGTCAATGATGATGCAAGACAATTGTATAGAAGTTAATTTTGTTATGTAACTGCATTCAACAATATCGTGCAAATATATTTATGATGCATTTCTTTCATGCTATTAACAATTTTTTGTGAAATAAATCTATTGCGTACCTACCTACTCTAGAAGTTAGTCTAAAAGAATGAAGGATAAAAGAACATTTATAACTTTGTTAGTGGTGTAGTTTTGCTTATAATTGTTAGTTACACTTTCAGTTATTTATTTGGTTTATGTTCAAGTGTGTGGTGTCAACTTTTTATAGAGTATATAAATGTATTCCTTCTCACTTCATTGTGAATAATATATTTTTCCTCTTCAGATCTATTTTAATTTCATTAAATCTTTTATGGTACCCATAACTTGAGAAGCTCCTTTTATGGCCTCAGATCCTCCTTCACCGAAAAGCAAGGCAAATCCAGTGTTGTAGTCTGATCTTCGGCCAAATATTATCCATTCAACTCATTTTAAGATAGAACCTATTACGAGGCCATACGTGATACGTGTATCCATTTTAATTTAAAAATGATTTTTTAAAACCATCTTTATCAAATAAAAATCTTAGGCAAAAGAAAATTATTAAAAATTATTATACATTAATTTTTTCCATTATTTTTAATAAATTTCTTCTGCATTTTATTTATTGATTGAATAGAAAGAAAAAAAAAACAATTGCAAATTTCAAAATCACCTCAATAAATTTTAGATAATACCTAACTATACTCTCATTATATTTTTTTAAGAAAATTAAATTTTCTATATCTCACATAAGTTATTTATAAATTTCATATATACAAGTTACACTTTTTAATTGTTTTTTAAATAACCATAGCATATAATGTAGTAAAAAAAAGCTATGTAAAACATAAAATATAATAAATTAGTTAAAAATAATATATGATACAATAAGTAAAAAACAATTATCTATTTGAATTTTAATGTTTATTTTTCCAATTACTTAGTAATTAGTTAATTTAAGCTTTAACTTTAGATGGTTTAAGGCTTTAAACACTTTATTTCTATTAAGTGTTGTTTAAGTACTATGAATTTTTATTATTAAAAACAATTAATGTATGAATTTTGAGTTATTTTTCTATTTTTGAATTATATATATATAAGAGGATTCAAATGACACTAGTGTAATTTTTATTAAGTATTACACCACTTAACAACTTTATATTAAATGTGAATTTTGTAAATTCAACCATTGAAAATTTTGTTAAAATTAAAACAATTTGAAGATAATAAAAGTGTTCATATTTTATTATATTTTAAAATGTATATATTACGTCAATTTTATTTGATAAAAATGAAGTATCAAATTATTTTAGATTAATATAAAATTTTATATATATGATCTAAGAGTAAAGAACTTTCAATCTAACGGTTGGATTTATAAAACTTACATTTAATATAAAGTTATTGAGCGATATAATACTTTGTATATATATATATATATATATATCCAACTACAATGTTATCCCATTTTTGAGGTTGACCGCCCTACTTTGCTATCCGAAATTAACTAGAGTTTTACGCTGTCAGTTACCTTCTCTTACGTGATCTCGGAGAAGTTTGATGAAAAGAATTTTCTTGTTTGGAAGCAGCAAGTTGAACTTGTGCTTAAGGCGCATTGATTGTATTGTTTTGTTGTTAGCCTTGAGACACTGATCCTATTCCTTTCTCTATCCTATAAAAACCCAAGGAATAGAGAATTCCGAGTACTGCACCCGGGAACTTCAAGATCAGTTAGTTCTTTTTTCTTTTTCTTTTTTTTTGTCTTGCCATAAGGATCTCCCGTGGCAAGCCAAGGAAAAATGCCCCATAGATTATCTTATCATCTTTCTACCTCAACTTCCTCTGATGCCATAAAAGATTCAAAGAAACTAAAATATATCTGAAGTAAAATTGTATTATTCACAATAAAGTGAGGGCTCCATTTATACAGACTATAGAGAGTCTTATAGTCTCAAGCAAGTTACATTATAGTGCTGACACATCACACTAATAACAGAAGGTGTAAATAAGAATAAGGTGTTGACTCGGCAAACTAACAGAATGTGTAACTAACAATTATTAGCAAGAATACATCTCTAACACAGGCAATTAATCCCATTTGTGAACCACTTTTATGTTATCTTAGACTTATAAGTTGTCATTTTTCCCCGTTTCCATACACTAGCAAAATAGTTTTAAATCCTTAAAGGAATGAAACTTGCTTTCCTTGAATTGTGTAGTCCAAAAAATTCTATGATTTGATGCCTAACAAATCCAAGATGATATGTAAATAGACTTCTTCCATTCTAATTGGATGTTTCTATTGAGCAAAATAACTAATCTGAGTTTCCATAGCATCTAAGATTTTACATTTTTTTTTACCAGAAATGTTAGATGATTCATACCAGCATTCTTTCAAGAACTTTCCCTCAATTTTATAAGATTTTTAAAGTCAACATCAGAAGGTGTTGCTCAAAGTCCAAAAACTGTTGTGTTCTAACTTTTCAGAGCCAATTTTTTAATCCACGACCAGCACTAGCCTGTGACATTCAGTAGTGCTAATACTATTTCCCTTGTTGCCTAACTTAGAGTATCAAAGCTCAGCAATGCATCTATCAATTAATCCATCAATTGAGAAAAAGTTTCCAACAATATCGAGGGGAAAACTTACCATCCCTTCTAAGATGACAAGATCTGCATCGCTGGCAAGGTAAGCAAGCTCCTGTGATACTCTTGTAAGATCAATAACCTGCAACATTCAACAAATCAAGAAAGATGTAATCATCATACAGGTTAATGATCTTATATCAAATGTTCAAATACCATAATTTTCATAAATAACAAAAATCATTGCTCATTTTCTTACAGGTAAATCATTGCCAGAGTTGGCAATTAAAAGATTTGAAGTACTGACACCCACAAGCTGTCCTTCTTCATCCTTTAACTGGATAAGTGGAAGCCAACACCACAGAGTTAGCAGAGTATATGGCAATTTCAAAAAACATTATATAAAACTTATCTTCATTACCTTTGCTATAATTTCAACTAGCTCAGAACAAGTCACATCATTGATGGATGGTAAGTCATTAGCAGCCAATACAACCTGCATTCATAGAGAATCACATAAAATACGTTGAAGATGGCAGCTGTAAGAACAGCATATCAGAAGAAGTTTCAATTTCAAACATATAATTAAAATGAAAAAAGAAAAAGACTAATGAACATCTACAACAAGACAATCATTGACACGTTTTATTCACATATTAGAATTCAAATGATTGATTTTGAATTAAAATATCACAAAAATTTGCTTTAATGGCTTTGGTAAATGTAAAGATGCAAAAATACTTGCGGCAGTGCGCTACCAATGTTACAGTTTGGTCCATGTGGACAATAACTCTAGTATTTTGAAAGACATTTCAATGGCATAGAACTTGATTTGGTAAAATTTTATGCATTTGAGTCCTATTTTTTAGTAAGGCACTTTGTAATTGAGGAAACCCTTGTTAGTGATTGGACAGCTTTGCTACGTTGATTTTCTTTTTCTTCTGCTTTATATGTTTTGTTCTTGTGTTAATAAAGGTTCCTTTTTATCCATCTCGTTGTCATATTTTTATCTTCATTTAAATGATTTTTTTCATTTATAAATAAATAAAATGTCAGCAAACCTGACTCCCACGCCGAAGTAGTTCTCTTGCAAATGGCATAATACCCAAAATGATATCTGCACCAGAGTTATCTACAAATATGATAACCTGCCATGATAAAAAGGCACATATTACAACAGTAGAAAATATGCCAGAAGACAAAATTTCAATAAGTAATGATAAAATTGTATCTCTTTATACATATGAAACTTGCCTTCTTCCATGGCTTCTTGCTCCATTTAATTTTGAAAGTGTCAAGATCATCAATAACCCAAGGTCGAGGAACAAGATTTTGACAACTAGCCAAAAAGGACATTCCATCCTTAGAGAAAACCTCTGCAAGCTTCAAGAAATTGTGAAAACAATAAGGTAATACATAAAGTACAAATAGATAAGTTTTACTTTTACACACTAATGCATATGATTGTGAGAAATAGAAGAACAGTTTTCTTCTAGAAGGAAAATAAATTCAGATGAAAGTAAAGTTTTAAGAATATACCCATGCAAAATTACAGCAACCAAGAGAAGTTGATAAGGAACATTGTATTTTAACTAAGGATAATTTGCCACACCATTCTTCACACAACAATGAGGAACTAAACCAAATAATATCAGAAAATGGGATAACACCAGTGACAAATAGACAGTGGTAGTACTACTACTACCAGCAACCAACTAAGGAAAGATGAGGAATATTTTATTTTAAGGATAATTAGCCCTTATTCTTCACACATCACAGGAACTAAACTAAACCAAATGATGGGAAAGAGGAAGGAATGGATAAAGGGGTTGGTACTGTGACATGCAACATAACAGAATATTCAGATAGAGATTGCAACTTAACCAAGTATAATTGACATTTGAAATTTTGAATGAACAAGTAGGTGTAGTCTGGTTTGGCAGAGTCTTAATATAGTCATGCAAAGTTATCAAAAGAATGCATAATAGATCATCCTACCTGTGCAGAACCAAGATCAAATATATTTCCAGCAAAAATTCCTCTAACTAGATTCTCAAGTCGCTTGCCTTCATCTTCAATGGCATCATTAAGACGAACAACATTCTCAAATAGTGAAATGGCTTTTGCATTTTCTTCATCCTATTGCAATCAATTAGAAAAGAGTAAACTACCTTGGGTGAAATAAAACTAAATTGAGAATTAATAATGTCATGTTACCACCCCAGCCCTCCTTAATTAAAATTGATAACAACGTAGGTTTAAGTTCTTCTCAACTTTGGCTAATGATCTGTAAAGCTTTTCAACCAACTAAATCTGAAAACAATTCCATTAAATTTTCCTCCATAATTTATGCAAGATGTTAAATTTATTAAACTACAATCAGACAGGCACACAATTTTATTGAACATTTTTTTTTATCCATAGCAGCATAGAAGTAACAAATGGCATCCCAAATAGCAGTTAAATCTACCTTGACTTTTTTGAAAATATCTCTGAATCCCAATTCTCTTAGCACTAGCTCACGAAGTCTGCAGAGAAGCTGGAAAATTGCCCCAACCACCAACCAGAAAGGACAACAAAAAAATAAAAATAAAAAAACAATGAAAGAAATTAAACACACCACCAAATTGCTGCTTTTTCTTCTAATTCCTTTTTCAGGGGAGTGGGGATTAGGGTATAATTTTAGCTTTAGTATAGAACATACAATGCAATCAGGAGGCCCACCATGACTTTCAGGATCTTTCTTCAAATCTTCCAGTATGTCAGTGTATCTTTTGTAGGGAATGCAAAAATAAAATACACAATTATTAAATCCATGAGTTATTATGTGATAGAAATAAGAAGAATGGAATCACCTTTCAGCAAATTTTTCAGCTTTACTTGCAGCATCAGGAACAGAAGTATCATTCTCTGCGCGCTTCCTGTCAAATCAAGGCTAAATGATGATGTAAATTGTAAACACAAAAGACACCAATAATGAAATTCTTGCAATAATATGAAAAAAAAAATCACATATTTCACTAAAAAATCCATTGATGGTTGTTTTAATATTTCCATCTATGAGTACTTCTAATTGACTTAATTAGAAAGAAGCAACTCTCGAAAGTTAGTAAATTGAGCAAAGACAGGCTAATAAATATGCGTTAAGAGAGACAGACAAATCGATTGGCCAGTTGGTGGTTTTAGGTTGATTCAGAATAGAAGAAAAGTACATCAATAAATTCACAAATTATTATTAAAAATTTAAAACAATTGAAACATTTATTTGCTATAGACTTTACTATGATCATGGACATTTTGATCCTTTGTTAACATTAATGACGCTCATAGTTAACGTTCGCCAAACACTCAACTGCTCATAAAGCATCTTTACTATTACTTATCTTATAACAACTCTAACATCAGCCTTTATATGCAAGTTTTGGACTTTGGGTTGCAACCTCTAGAAAGTCACAAGAAGAACAAAACAAACCCTAACCCAGTGATAAGAAATAGGAAGAACAACTGGAGCCCCAATTGTCCAACCACTTTGGCAGTAACTCCCTGCAGAAGTTAAATTTTACAAATAATTTCAAGGTGCTATTCTGAAAGCTAAGAAACTAACAAATGGTAATAATGTTGCCACCTGAAAATGCTGTTCATCCCTCACCGGTCACCACCAGCATATATACAACCATTCCAAACACATATCGGTTAAAAATGAAAATCGTAATTAAAAACCAAATCCAACTACAAGACTAGAAAGCTCGACTTAATTTATAATGCAATTAGAAAACAAATCAAATAAATTAGTATACATACATACCCATAAACATACATAAACAAATACAAGTCGTAACTATAACAGTAATAGCAGTATTAAAATTTGCACTTAGGTAAAGATCTTTAGGTACTTATGAAGTTGGTATGCAATGAAATTGGAGTTTCATCATGGTCCCCTGCACAATTCTGATTATCATAAAATTTGCATAATCATCGAAAAGTGGTTAGCACAAGTGATTTGGTAGTAGATGTGCCGGTCAGCCAAAAACCGAAATTCGATCTTTGGTTTGGACATGGAGCTACAATTGGAGAAACACTTTACCCTACCTAGCGTGAAAATGAGTTATACCTTCTTACTTAAATAAATAAAATAAAAATAAAAAAACGAATAATCAAATATCACGAAATGAGTACCCTGAGCAAAACCCCACAGGGGGAAGAAAACAAAAGGACCCATTTTTTTTAATCAATCTAAAAAATAAAAAGCACCAATTTTTACCATAATCGAGAACAAAAGAAGCCATTGGCGGTTAAAACGAGCAAAAGGGTATGCTATGAAAGATGAAAAACCGCGAATCGGGCAGCAAAAAAAAAAAAAAAAAAAGTTTTAGAGCAAAGAGAAGTGGTAACGCACTTGAAAGAGGGGATTGAGTTGAGGAAGAGATCAATCCAAGAGATTTCGGTGGGAGTGGGCTTGCGGGGGTTGTCGGAGGGGAATCTGTAGGGAATGGTGCATGCTCTGTAGTTGGAATCGATTGGCGTAAGCAACAGAGGAAATTCCACAAGCTCTGAAGCGCTTTCCATCTGAGAGAGAGATCCAAGTTGTGTTGTTGTGAGAAAGAACAAGAATCGCAATCACAGAGAGAAAGAGAGAGAAAGCGTGACGTAGTCCTCACTTTCCCTTCCCACACATTCTCGCTGCTCCAAATCTTCACCTTCCTTTGCCTTCATTGCTCAAAAAATTCAATTATTTTCTAAATAACCAAAATTAGGTAAATATTTTATTTTTCTTATTTTAATTATCGATTATATTTTTGTTTAACCAAATTTACTCGAAAATAATTTTGAAATGTTTAATTTTACTTAAGTACATAAAGAAGAAGAAAAAACACAACTCTTTTATATAGTAAATTATTTGTAAAAGAAAAAAAATTGAAAAAATAATTACAAGCTTTATATTTTTTAATTAAAGAAAACAACTTATTTTTTTAGAAGAAAAAAAATTGCTTATAAAGTTAAGTTATTGTCCTAACCATTTTGTTTTTTTTCTTCTTTTTTTCACAAACAACTTTTCCTTTCAAAAACAGCTGAAATTACAGGAAGTTCTTTTTCCCCAAACATACTATAAATGTAATACCAATACATGTTCATAACATACAATTTATTACATCTTCAGAAATAAAATAACTTTAATATACTGAATATTAATGAACTAGTTAAATTATTTCACTAGATTGATGATTAAACCTTAAACCCTACATCATGTTAAATATTACTGCACTATTCATTAATTAATTAAAAATTAATATTAATATGAATTTGAATTATTTATTATAAAGTTTTAAACACACATACATAATATTTGTGATTATTATATAAATTATTTATTTTTATAACCTTTTTATGATCAGTATTTTTGTTGGTTCAATACATATAATAAAATTTTACTTTATATAATTAAAATTTATTATAAATGCTTATTTTTAAATATAAAGTATATTATTATTATTATTAAAATTTATAATGATAAAAAAAATTTATCATATGAATTATATTTTAAATTTATAATGAATAACTTATATTTTTAATATAAAGTTATTTTTAACTATTCGTATTTTTAAAATATTAAAACTTAATTTAAAAAAATAGATCGAAAGATCCAAGGTGTCAAGAAAAAAATTCTAAGAATATTCGCATGGAAGAGATTTTATGCGAATTTAATGAGAGGTTTTAATGCATTAGTATGTTATTGATTTTTAAAAAAATTTAAAATTAGGTCCTTAATTTTTTTGACACCAGATTAGGTCCGTAATTACAAAAATTATAATTGAATAACTTTAATTTCTATAAAACCACAAAAAAATTTTAACTATTCACATTTTAAAAATATTAAAATTTGATTTGATTTATAAAAAAAATAGACCGAAAGATCTAAGGGGTCAAGAAAAAAAATTCTAAGAATATTCGCATGGAAGAGATTTTATGCGAATTTAACGAGAGGTTTTAATACGTTAGTAAGTTATTTATTTTTTTAAAAATTAAAATTAGGTTCTTAATTATTATTATTTTACACCAGATTAGGTCCGTAATTACAAAAAATTATAATTGAATAACTATAATTTCTATAAAAACCACCACGAATTTTTATTTTTTAACACAAGTTGCAAAACTTGTAGAAAATTAAAGTCTAATTATAAATGTTTAGTTTAGTGATCTAATTATAAACTATAAAGAAATTCAAAATCTAGTAACATATTAATACTTATATAGTGTTTTAGATGCATTGCTTTGTCCTTAAAATGTATTAATAGAAAAAAAGAATTTCTACCACCTAATTATCTTGAAAAATAAATAAATAAAATTGTCGATACAGTATAAACCTAAACATTTACACTGAATTTAGTACCTGTTAATTATACAATTTATAAATTTTTAATATGTAGTTTTTTATCTATCGAAATTATCTTAATAAACAGTTTAATGATTATGCATGTAAAATAGTATTTATATAATGATTTGAATGTTGTTATAAAATTATTCTACGGCGAAAGGACATTAACATTGAATTTCAAATGACCAATTTGAAATGAAGGAAAGAAATTGGAGAGTCAAGGAAAAAATTGAAATTTTGATTGAAGGAACAATGGAGAGAGACAAAATTTAAAATTTATCCAACAGAATAGAGAAGTTTTTTTTTTTTTTAGAATCATGATACTTGAAAATAACATATTTAGAAATCATGATTTTTTATTTTTTTTTGGTAAAGATTAGAAATCATGATAAAAAATCATGATTTTGAGAATAGTTAAAATTAATTTAGTTATTCATAAAAAAATTTAGAAGTATAAATTTTTTGTTTTATTAGAATATTACTTTTTTTTTTCTTCATCCAAACCAAAAATAAACACATAGTTACCGTGTCTTTTTCCAAGAATGAAGTGTATGTTATTGTCCAATTTTTTATTCAATACTCATTTGTCAAATAAATTTCTTCTTTTAATTTTCATTCTTTCTTCCTTTCTCTCAATATATCATTCGCATCTTTCTAACCCAATTTATATTTCTCATCTTTTTTCATTTAAAATTCTATCATGGCCTACCCAACAAAATATGACAAGCTTCCATGGGAACTACATCACATTTGACTTTATCTTGATAGTTCCCAATGGAAAACTCTACTTCCACTTGTTGGTTAACCACCATATCCCCATCATCATTGAGCCAATGAAGTTTATAAGGTTTGGGATGGGGTGTGGTAGTTAATTCCAACTTTTCAACCATCCTAGTGCTACAACAATTGCACTAAGACCCACTATCCATAATTAGAGAACAAGCTTTGTTTGAAATATTACATCTTGTATGAAAAACGTTCTCTTTGGGATTGTGTATCACTAGGTTGGTTATTGAGGACCCTTATCATCATAAGAAGTACCCCATTGTAAGGGTAAGTGACCTCACATGACTTTCTCTCACTTGCTTCTTCTTCATCCTCACTTGAAGATGAAGAAGTAGTAGCTTCATCTTGGCTACTATAAATGTCTTGGCCCCTTAGTATCATGACCTTTTTGTTAGGGCATTGAGAATCAATGTGGCCTCTCCCAAGACACTTAAAGCATTTTATGTCACTAGACTTGGTGCTAGTGTGTGAGGTGTTTTTCTTTTCTTTTTCTTCTTTTGGTTTACCCTTGTCTAGATTTTTGGAGGAATCAAAAGTATTTTTCTTTTCAAAAGTTTTTCCCTCCCTCTTGTAGTCAACCTTTGAATAAGAAGATGAGTATTAGCTTGTTTTGAAATTCTTTCTCAAATTTTGTTGCTCAACCTTGATACAAAGTTGAACCAAGTCATTCAAATCTCTATAAGGTAGAAGCTCAACCTTATCTCTTATCTCAAAAGTTAAACCACTCAAAAATCTAGCAATGGTAATATCTTCCTCCTCCCTAATGCCAGCCCTCATTAAATACAACTCCATGGTTTGT